AATGTCTATATTACCTAATATAATAGACAGAACAAAATTGAAGAAAAATATTCTCTGTACTTAACGAATAAGTACCAAAGATAATAAAATTAACCTAACACAACTTGTAATATTATAAAGCCTATTCCTATTAGAATAGCTAACCTTTATCAAAACCTCAGAATGCTGAAAATCTTTTTATTATATGCATTTCTTACAATTGTAAATAATTTAACTCTGACTTTGCCACGCCATTTTCAAAGTTAGCAACAAAAAAGGAAGATAAAATTTAAAAAATTACTCATACTGTATATTCCATGAGGATCAGAAAGAGCCACTTCACCTAAATCTTTATCCATGTATACTCAAATTGCCCTAATCATCGAAATAAATACCAAAAATTAACCGACAACAAAAATCGTATACCGAGCTCTTGCCGTGTTTGTCTCATATTTGACGAGTCCAGACGGTCTGTTTGTGCGCTGGCATGATGCGACTTGACGGAGGGTTTGGAAGTCGAACCAAGGCGTCAGGCTCGAGTCCCGGCGTACCTCGACCGGACGACGCCTTCCTCCGGCTGAGCCCAGCATCACTTCCTTTCGTTCGGCCTCCTTCCTCCTACCAGCCTCAGTGCTCAACTCAACCGTCAGCATACTGTACAGGCTTGATAGGGGCTGGGAAATGAGGGGTGCTCTGAGGTCGGAGGAGGTGGGGGATGAAGGCGGGGGAGGCGACCAGACGGGAGGGCTAATTTACTGTTGGACAGACCAATCTCGAAGGCAATTTTTTCAAGTAGTTGACCTATTTCACTTGCAGAATTTGGACCGGCTCTGCATGCATGACCCGCCCGCACCTAACGGGAATAGTCTCATTGCACTCGACCATTTGCTCCGCTTTCGAGCACTGTATATACACACACTAGAGACATACTTGTGTACGTATCCAAGGCAGTTAGAGGCCTGGAGTTGCACGTCTACTCAACGTATGTGCTTATAAAAGAAGGGTCGGACAGAAATCTGGCTTTCTTTTTTCCCTTATGGTGAGGTAAAGTAGAGAGAAAAGTGATGACAGATATGCGGGCGGGATGATTGCCTGCTCAAGTCAGTCATGGGTCGAGGGTTTGGGCAGATGCCTTCAGTGGAGTCTGAAAGAGCAGGGATGAAACGCAGGAAGACAGACACAGACGCATACACACCCACACCCACACACACACACATATATACATATATATATATATACATAAATATATACACATATATAGGCACAAACGCAAGAACGATTTCGCATTCATATCCAGAGAAGATGTTGTGTTCACCTGTCCTTGCTATTCAGACACCAACGAGTGTGCACTCATGAGGTGTACGGCGTTGGATATTAGGTCAAACCAACTCGATGCTGGCAGAGGTTAGAAATCCCAAAACCAAAGGGAAGTCAACGTCAAAGTCGAATGC